ATGCGATCATATTAAATCTTATCTTTTATATTTTCTAGTAAAATTTATATTTTTAATTTCTCCCAGTGAATATAATGCATAATAATGATTTCAATTGTATATTTAATCTATATTAAATATACAATTTCTAATAAATAACTCATCTAATCTATGTTAAATAAATTTCACTTTTAAAAAATTTATTTTTAATTTAAATTTTCAGCACTATTTTTTATTTTAGACAACAACAGAAACAGCAATAATAGAGCATATGAATGGAACATCATTACAACAAGGAGCAACACTACCTGAGGATCCAGAAACTAGCACTCCAACAAGACCGGAAAATCCAAGAGAATTACGAGAAACGGAAGCTGATAATGGTTTCGATTTATTTGCTAATACAAATTTTGCTAGCAAATATTAATAGAATAATTAATAATAATAATAATAATAATAATTAATAATAATAATAATTAATAATAATAATAATAATAATATAATAATAATAATATTATAATAATAATAATAATAATATAATAATAATAATATATAATAATAATAATAATAATAATAATAATAATAGCAGTAATAATAACGAGCACTGATAACAAAGATAACAATAATAAACAATAAATAATGATAAGATAAATGGGCAACTTTTTGATGTTAACATAATTTAAATCAGTGATAAATAATTCCGGTCTAAATTAAAAGTAAAATTTCAGATTCACCAGTTGATATGACTGGAATTATGAGACATTTGGGTTCACATCATACTTCTGGTCCAAATAATAATACTTCAACACCAATTAATAACGATCATTTATCATCTTCAATATTTGCACCTGTCCATACACCAACAACATCCCTAAATAATCAACAAAGAGAATCGGATAATTCGGAAATCAGTGATACTGCACGAAGTAGTACTACACGATTATTACTAAGTCGTTTTTTAAATCTCAATGAGATTAATTTTACTTCCAATAATAGCAGAAATGATGATGTGACAATGCAATCTAGAAATGATTTTTATCAGGTAAGTATATTTCTCTTTTTCATTTATTAATTTTAGTAAGTGCAATTAAGAAAAAAGTGTTTTTTTTTTTTTTATTTTAACTAAATGTTAATATCATCGCTTGTGTGACATTTTGTGTGACAAATTTAGATACTATTTATTTTTTACAGTTACATTTATTAAATTTTTATGAAAAATTGGAAAAAATGTGGTACAAAATTCATTTCATTCTCAATTAATACAATTGACATTTCAAATATTTCCATTTTTTATTTATTTTAAATCAATCGAAGTTTCATTTCATTTCAACTTTTTTTTTAATTAATTCATTTATTAATGAAGAGCTAAAAAGTTATTTAATTTCAGATGTTTGATGGAGATCAATTAACATTACAAGAGACAACGGAACGTTTAGTTGCACTGATGGCAAGAGTTGAAAGTTTATTAAATCTAATAAATACTTTTGAAATGACTAATTCATCAAATCTATTATAAGTTATTAATTTATGAATTGAATTGCTCAGTTTTCTATCATATGCAAATAAATTATTTGCAAAAATAATTGAAATATAATAATTATTGATATTTTCCATTTTTCTTTTTCCTTTTCACTTTTTTCTTTTTTAATTTTCTTTAAATAATCAAATTTTGATCAGAATTATTCCAATGGGTGCTTAAATAATACAACAAATTTTGCCTTTTTTTTTTCTCTCTCCCTATTTCTCTTACTTTTAATTAATTCAATTTAAAAAAAAAAAGAAAGAAAGAGAAAAACAAAAAATAAGAAAACAATGATTTTGTATAACTATATTTTTTTCTAATAAAAGAAAGAAAAACACAAAAATTCTATTTGTATATTTGTATTCTCTCCTAATTTTCTTTTTTTTTTTTTTTTTTGTTTTGTTTTATTTACTTTTCTAAAATAAATGTACAAAATGTAATATTTGTGTGAGAGAGAAAAAAAAAAGAAACATTCATAAGATTTTTGAAAATATTTTATTGTTTGAAATCAATTATCCATAATAACATTTATAAAAGTGTAGAAATATCAATGTAAACATGTATATGTGTACGTAGTATTTGATATATACATTATATATATATATATACATGTTTATCTATCATATTTCTTTGTTTTTTTTTTCTTTCATCTTATCAAATTTTTTATCAATTTATCAAATTTCTTAATTTTTCTTTTCTTTTTTAATCAAATTTTCAATTGCTTATTTGAAATTATCGGTAGTAAGAAGACATTGATGGGTAAACTTTTCAGATTGGTACTTGTAAAATATTGCTCATTGGTGTGCAAAATAATGCAAATAAAATTTTTTTTTCATATTTTATTATTTACACATTATTAAATCAGTTTCATAAATCATATTTACATGAAAAAAAAATTGACAAATACAATTTTTAATGATAATAATAATAATACATTTTAAAATTTGGACAAGTTAATGTGAATAAAGTTAAAAAGTAAATTCATTATTTAGTAAATCAATTAATTATCAATTATACAAATTATTATTATTATTATTGATTTGTTAGTTTTATTCATTATAATCCTCAATAATGATCATTTTCTCAGGGACAAGTACAAATTTATGAACAATATCTTTTATTTCCGGAAAAAATTTCTTATATTCATCATAACCTTTCCAACGTGGTTTTGTTAATGAAATATACTGTATACCACCACCATAACAATTTATATTACATTCACGTCCAAGACATTTTAAACATGCTAATTTATAGCAATGTTTAATTTCTGTTATACAACGCATTCGTTTCTTTTTCTTCTTTCGATTTTTTACACTTACCGTACGCCAAAATTTTTCTTCACAAATACGTGTTGCACGTATGAAACAATTATCATTCCAACAATGTAAATCATTTGATAATGATTTATCAGTAGCTGTTAAGCATTTCACATCACAATGCTCCAGAAATGGACTTGTTTTTGTTAAAATGCAATTATTTATTGCCACTGGACATTGCTGACTGCTTGCTGATGACGATGTCACCGTTTCATGTGACATCATTTTTGTTGTATTTGTTAGCATTTCATTCACTGTCGCATTACTTACATCTATTTTGATTGTTGTTTGTGACATTGTCTATATTAATTATATCATTATTAATTGATTAATTATTATGACCAATAGCAATTATATCTATTTCAAATTATATTATTAATTTATTTAATAATCAGTTATTAGTAAATAATAAATGATACATTGATATAATGATAATAACAATAATATAATAATAATAATAATAATAATAATAATAATAATAATAATAATAATAATAATAATAATAATAATAATAATAATAATAATAATAATAATAATATAATAATAATAATAATAATAATAATATCTCAATATTAAAAAAATATATTATGGAATTGGTATATATATCATCTGGTAAAATTATAAGAAATGATAAATTATTGTTATCATTATTATTATCCAAACTTTGCATAGTTATTAGCATAATTATAAAATATGCTTTTTTTTTTATTTCACTAATTGACAAGAAAAAGAAATCTAGTAGAAATTTAATAATCAATTGATTTCAATTCAAAAAAAAAAAAAAATTTTTTTTCTTTACTTACTTTTATAATAATTTTGAATATTGTAAAATTATTACTGTAATTATTATTTTCAGTTAATATGTAAACAAATATTTTATATTAAAATTTCATATCGAATATATTATATCTAAACTCATATCAAATATGCTCATAAAAATTATTAATTTATTCAAATTATTTATTAATAATATCAAATTTTCACCTTATGTTTATGTGGTTGAAAAAATTTGACAAATGTTGATTTACATTCAGCCAAAATTTGTTCCTTTAAATCAGTTGGTATTTGAGGAAGTTCAAAACGATGGCGTATATCAATAAGACTGCTACACCATGGCAAAATAATAATGAGTAATGGAAAATATTTTAAAATGATATTTACAGCCATTATATGAATTTTTCTATGGAAATGAAATAACCTAAATTAATAACTTATTTATTAAACAATGATTAATTCAATGAGTGTCGTATCAATTTAAACTTTTTGCTAAATAGAAAGAGAGAGAGAGAGAAATCTCTGTTAAGAAAATGATAATGCATTTAATTTGTATAAATACATATTAACATAATCATAATAAATCCAAATGATCTTTCGCTGTATTTGCACTATTTGAGATATTGCTTATCAGTACGTTGAGAACTACTATGCAAAGAAATTTTTAATTTCAAATTTATTCGAATATATCAATTTTCGTCAAATGCATCAAATTTATCCTTCGTTTTTTTTTTTTTTTCTTGAAGAACATAAGAATACGTCAATGTGAGGAATAGTTTTGGAGTTTGTGATTTTTCAGATACGAAATGTCAACTTTTTTATGCACCCACAATCATTGCAAATAATTTGATGATAGCTAAATAACTTGTTGGAGAAATTTTGTTAAGCATCTCATCCCGGATTATATTTCCATAAATAATGAAATGAAATAAAATGACTATGTTTTAATACTCTTATTTAAATGTTAAGCAATAACAAATTCAAGAATAATGAATTAATTACTAGGAAAAGTAAAGAAAACAAAGAATGCTACCGTGAAAATGCAGTTAATCAAAGCATGTAAATATAAATTGACAGATTCGAAATTTGATAACAAAGATTAACAACATTAGATTATTAATTAACAATATTAGATTATTCTTTTCACTCCTTTCACTTATCTAGTCATTCCTTTTTCTTTAAAACCAAAAAAAAAAAAATGATGAAAACATGTTATCCATTTAAATTAATCAAATAATGTTCGGAATAAATTCACACAAAGGCAGCTTTCCTATATATATTTTTATATATTCTGCTTTTGAGTTACAAAAATTACTAAGCAATTTTATAAGTTTAATGCGAAAAATCACTTATTTCACGATTGTATGAGTGAAACTTACTGCCACTTCTATCTCATTGCAAAAATTGTATCATAAATACTCTTTACATTCATGGCATTCTCTCAATGCTGCACGTCGTATCTAAAAATTTCGTATATTTGCAAGATAAAATTTTATATAAACAGCAATAAATTAACTGCAAAATAAAAAAAAAATTGCATTAGTTTATTTATAATCATATCAAGTTGAATTTCATACTATGTAAGTTTTCTTGAATCTTATTATGAAGAAAATTCACAAATGCATTTAGTAAAAAAAAGAAAATATATTTTTGACCAAATAATTCGTTGATGCACTAAAGAAACTTAAATGATTTAAATGAAATATGCAAAAAACAAAATGAACAAACAATAAGTTTAGGTTTACCACAGTATCTGCGACCGAATCACAATGTTTTGTTAAAACTTGTTTGAAAGCATTACATGCATCTACTCGAGATTTTGGAGTGTTCAATTGTTTTTGAGCTAATCCAAGGTGATATTGATTTTGAGGACAATCACTCTGCTGCAAATTATTATTATTATTTTTTATATCACGAAAAACTTCACATTAAATATCAAAAGTAATTCCACTCGAAATTGCAAATATTATGTATTTGAATTTCTACAGTTTCCAAATAATGCTGCAAATTTGCTGGGACAGATTATCAAACTACTTATACTCTTACTCTAACAATATGACGTAATTGAATTTACGTTGTATATTCCGAGTGCTTAAGACAATTGAAACCCAAAACATATAATCGGAATCAATTTTTGAACTTGATATAAAAAGTATTAAGATGGATCTCTAAGAGAAATCTAACAGTTGTTCACTTTGGCAACTCCAAAACCCTCTTTCACAAATATCAGAAAGAAAATATATTTACAAAATTGCAAGAAATTAACTAACTTTCAGTTTCATTGCCCGTAAATGACATTCGACAGCATTTTGATACTCACCAAGCTCATAATTTGCAATACCTTTAAAATGAAGTTCAAACCAGTATATTGCAAATATAATCATAAATTCAAATTCAATATGATTCAAGAGATATGACGTTTAAAAGTTGAGTCTGGACTTCACAGATTTTGCGATAGAAATTGACAAAAATTTTTCATACGTTAAATTAAATCCAGTTGCTTATTAACTAAATATAGTCTCTAACCTCAATAGCTCACTTACTAAAAGTTTGTCCTATCAATTATTCTAACTGAAAAAAAATGTTTCATACTCTAGAATGTTCAACAAGATCCGATGTAGATTATTCATTCATCTTCATGTAGCATTAAGTCAATACTGTCGATGCCAAAAACATTCTTGATTTTACAAAAGCTTTTGAAAGAAAAAATTAGAAAAACGGAAAAAATAAGGCAAATAATATCGAATTTACCTAAATAATACCAAATTTGTGGATCTATGCTGTCAATAACCAATGCTTTTTCAAGCTCGTTAATTGATTTCAGTAATCGTTTTTCTTTGTTTCCGTATTTGGCTCTTTTCAACATAATAAGACCATACCTGAAATTTAGGATTTACAAAATCAATGTTTGGAAGATTGGAGACAACAAGGAAAAATTAATGAGATTTATACTTATCTTTATATGACGTACATATTAATAGCGGAAAAAACTGATTGTTACCATTTATGACTTTCAACTCGCAAATCTTCATTTTGCTCAACAGTAACTGCTTTGATTGCGTAACGATGAGCCTTAATTTATACAACTTTAAATATCCGAAGATAAAGATATGAATTATTGTTTTTACAAATGCATAAATAAAAGTCGTAATAAGAAAATGCAGAATTACTTTTACAGTTACTGATTTTTGGAATTCATTTGAACTCTAAGTGCCAATCTTTTACCTACTTTCTGAGACAGTTTGCATTATTTTAGCCAGACAGTGTAATATTTTAAAGAATAAGTATAAAAATCCAGAAAGTAATCCTGCCAAACTTCGAGTATTTTACTTGAGCAATTTAAATCTGGAGTATGATTTTAAGAAATTTAAGAACCAAAAGAAAGAAAGAAATACCTTGCGCAAAATCTTTCTTCGTAATCTATCATCACTATCAAACCTAATAATTTGATGAGCCTTTTCTAACGAATCAATCGCACATCTGCAAACGAGTAAGGAAAGGATTTTATATTAAAAAAAATTTTAATTCCAAGAAAAAAAACATTTTATCATCTACTTATTTATTAATTTCAATGCTTTAAATGATAAGGTTATCATTCGACAAATAATGTTAAATTCTAATATAGCAGTATACCGAAATGGAATGTTTCTCTTCTATCTGTAATCTAACTGATATGATAGAAGACATTTTAAAACAAATTATATAAAATTAAAGTAAAACTACCAAATCTCCACCTTAGATAGGATCCATTGGGTATGTTCTGCTGATATTGTTCTTCGATGTAGTGACGTTTGCCGACAATATCCACAAATTTGAAATAAAATTCATAGAAATCTGACCGATATTTCCTCCTAAAGATGAAAAAATTTAAGAAATGTAAAGATAGCAATAGTAGCGTTAGGAGAATTTAGAAATTGTAAGGAGAAATAAACAAACGAGAATACCATTTCTCATTGTCATCCAGCATAGGACACGAATCAACCGAATCTATCATACCAAACGTTAAATATCCCAATCCACCAGCAATACATGTTTTGATTAATGGATACTTCCATAACCTTATCACCATCTGAATATAAAACTATGAATCTGAAAGGATCAAAATGCTAAACATCAACTACAATTCACAACAATTTAGTTGAAATTTTTGTCATAATATTTGTGGAAATAAATTTTCACTTACTTATCAAAGACAAACGTACTTCGTAATTGTGAACTAAAGCCGAAATCCAAAAAACTTAAGTTGTGAAGGTTATAACCTAGCATATAGTACTGACATTAAAATTATTTAAATCTGAAGTAAAAAAGTGGGTTTGAATTTCTTGGCGAGAATTTCCACAAATGAGAATAGCAAAAAAATTTTATGCTGCTAACACAAACATTTCGAATCGAAGAACACATGCATTTTCCTTTATTCATTTATTTTTTACTGACATCAAAGGAAAGTTATCACAAAGGAAAGCAAAAACAATTTATGCCTACAAAATTTGAAATCCTCCGTAAATTCTAATACAACTATTAAAAACGAATCGATATTTGCAGATTAGTAAGGACAAGCGGAATCTGGAATATCTTCCACACGCATCCCGCACTTTTTCAATAAGAATTCGCGAGCTTGCATTCCAGTCTGAAAATGTGATAATAGATTAGTCATCCGATAACTATAAAAATCATCGAAAAAAGAGGACATAAAAAAGACGTAACTGCTCTATCTTATTTTGCTTTATCATTCAAAAGTATAACTTATTTGCACAACTGTTCGCGTCATCGATTATTTTAAAGAATTATATATTCTAAACCTAATCACATGTTTTCGTACAACATCTTAATTCTTTCTTATAAAATTTTCTTAAAAAAAGCTTTATCTTCATTTTGTCCATTGGTAAATTGAGTTTTTTCATCCCGTAAATATTTAATGATACTAAGAAAAACCTTATATTCATTCCTGTAACGTGGAGTCAGAGTTTTTGCTTTCTTGAAGCTTTCGCATGCATCCTTTTTTTGTCCCAATGCAAGCTGTGCCTTTCCAAGCCAGAATGTGTTCTCGTTTGAAAAACCAGGCTGAAAATGATTTGGATTTGATTAATAAAGTTTTGCTCAATACCATAATTACTCTAAACTATATTTCCTCGACAGATTAAAAAGGAGGAATAAAGAATGCATTTTATCTATACAAACTCACAAAAAAAAAATGTTCTATATCACATTTTGATAGCCACAATATATATTCTAGAATATATGAACATTTTTTTCTTCGACAGCAAAAAATCTTTTCTGCTAAAAATATAACCACTAAATTGCCAGCAAGACTCCCAACTACAACACACTAACAATTGTATACCTAGTAGTAACTTTATAAAAATGAAAATGAGAAATTTTTAAGCAACCAAGCTAATTAACTGAATCATTAGGAAAATAAACATACCTCCAGTGACTCAGCTTTTTGATGGCTTTCCAATGCGTGCTTGTAATCTTTCTGCATGTATTGCACAATACCTGAAATGATGTTGAGTTTGCTATTATTGCAGATAAATTAGTTAGCAAATTAAAAAATCTTTTAATATTAATTTAATCTAATATTAAAAAACTCCCAATAAAGCCCTAATTTCGGTCCATCTTTTTGAAAAAAAAAAAAACTTTAGTTATAGATCTGTTTCTATATATAGCATGCTTTTAAACTCCGAAAGAACATAGTTGTTTGCTACTTACGGCCCATAAATAATGATATCATAATCAGTTAATTAATCTGCTAGAATAAGTCACCACTCACTTTTAGCTACCATACCTTGATTAACTAGATTAATACGTTCCTTTAGGAAGTCTAATGATATTCAACCATTTAATAGTAAATCAGAATTTCAAAGATCTATATCAAATAAAACAAAACAAACCAAGATATTGCCACGATCTTACATCTTTTGGATCTAATTCAACTGCTTTCTCTAAGTGCTTTTGTGCTTCATCAATTTTCTTATCAGAACGGAAATCCATTAACTTTACCAGAGTTATTCCATACCTGAAAATGCTCGAAAAGCCAACTCGACTTCATTTTTTATACTTTATTCCGAATCATTTTCAGAAAAAGCCAAAAAAGCAAAGTATGAGAAAAAAACCGATTTATTAAAATATGATATGCATACACCTTAATAATTCCAGCAATGAAAACATTTCTCCTAATCGATTTAGCTAAATAGAACAAATTAGTATATAATTCCAGCTTACCATTTGTGTGCACTGGCATTTGGGCTTTGTGGACTTTCATTCTCAAGCGCCTTTTTGCCCACTTTTTCAGCCTAAAAATTACTTCACTGAATTCACTGACTAACTTGGTACTCCAAATAATGACCGGAAAATTGTTTAGAAACAAAAATGGAACAGAAAGAACACTCTGGCATGAAGAAACCTCGAGGAATGTAGCCATTCGGTTTTTGTCGGCACTTGAAGTCCACAAAGCAATTTCGAGTAGTACTCGGGCATACCGCCATAAGAGGTCGGTGTTCGTTGAGTCCGAATATCTGAAATTAAAAAACAAATACGTATTAAAATCGTCTCAGCCCAGACTGGGTAAAAGTTCAATGGAAAGACCTCATAAGAAATTTCAGGAAAGGGATTCATGTCCTAGAATAAGCTGACATTAATATAAGGTACTTACAATTGCCATATCTATCATTGCAGTAAGAAGACTTGTGGACTGAGTTTTAAAAAATACATAAAAATTGGTCATATAAATAATATTTCTATGATTTACTCTTTCAGAAGTGTAAAAAATTGAATAACAAATCAAAACGTGGTGACATAATGAAATGAATAGTAACATGAAAACACAACATACGGATAAAGCTTCTCACGAAGATTCTCCAGTAATATTACATCATCCAAATAGCCTTTTCGATTCGTATATTTTATCGCAAATGATAGCTTACGCACAGACGTTTGATACCTGCATATAATAGCACTAATATGACGAACAATAAAAAGCTGACTAAATATTCGGTACATTGCACCACCTTATAATAGCATCAAAATACTCGAATTTAACTTGTTTAAAGTTTTAAGTTAGTTTGGATAATGATAGTGATAAGTTCAGTGAACAATAAGCTCAATAAGTGATATGCGGAGAAAAGTAACTCATATAAATATACTCAAATTATTTCCTAAATACCGAGAATCTAGCCGATATAGGACACTAAACTGAAATTCTGCATTACAAGCAAATTTCAAAAAACATAACATGGAACAACTGAGATTACTACGAGAGCAGAGAATTTCAAAGTTTTCTGGCAAAAAGTGACAAAATTATCACAATCAACAAGATATGTAAAAAAGATATGAACTGAATTACTTTGTATTAAACTGAATGCAACAATTGTTCTATATAAAATCAATTGTTAAGAAACAAAAAATCACAACATACCACATAGGCTGTTTCTTGAGTTCACTGTCACTAAGGGCGATAGCTGCGGCAGCAAACACTGCTCCTCCAAGGTAAGCATGTTTTTGAGAACCGAAATTCTTAAAAAAAAAAAAACACTTCTTTTTTTTGGATAAAAGACTACCGATGAATGTCTAATATTCCAAACTGCATTTAATAATGTTTTAAAATAAGAACCAGGAGAATACTTAGCCCTTTAACTTAATTAGTTTACTTAATGAGCCAAAAGGAATAAATGTTGATAAACACAGCACGAAAGAAATAAAAACCAACTTGTATGGTTTTTCGGAAGATATCACTTGTTCTGCGAAACATGATAATAAACTGAAGAAAAAAATATACTACAATAAAAGACATTAATAATGAATTTACTAATGGAATAATAATAATCTTACTATACCAAAACAAAACAAAAAAAAGAAAAGAAGGAACTGTCAAAACACAAATCTTATTTCTGAAAATCTTCAATCTTTCCAGTAATTACGATGAAAAAATTCCGATAAATAATTTCTAATAACATTCCAATCAATGGATCTTAATGAATTACATCTGCTATGCCTGGAGAACCTAATGGGACAATTTAATTCTGAAAACTATTACCACTTAGATTAGCACATTATTAGCACAATGAGACCAAATAATTGTTTGGGGATGAAAATGTTGCATAAAGAAGGCGAATTCATTACTTGTTGGAAGTGATATAAATGCCTCATTTTTTTGTATAAAATTGAAGCTTGTAGGGTAGCAACCCATTGTAATTCAGAGTTAATCCAATAATTTCAGATAGTTTACTCATACTACTTACAGTTATGTATTTATTTGTGCTTATCTTGCAATACACAAGACCTGATAGCTTAAACTTCAAATGCTTGATGCTTCACACTTCAAAACCTGATTACTGGAATGCTCGATTATTAGAATTAGTCATTCGAATAATGCATGAATATCGAAACACTTCATTACTTGAATACTTGAATATCGAAATACTTGATTACTTGAATACATGAACATCGAAATACTTGATTACTTAAATACACGAATATCGAAATACTTGATTACTTGAATACATCAATATCGAAATACTTGATTACTTAAATACACGAATATCGAAATACTTGATTACTTGAATACATTAATATCGAAATACTTGATTACTTAAATACACGAATATCGAAATACTTGATCACTTGAATACATGAATATCGAAATACTTGATTACTTAAATACACGTATATCGAAATACTTGATTACTCGAATATATCAATATCGAAATACTTGATTACTCAAATACACGAATATCGAAATACTTGATTACTTGAATACATTAATATCGAAATACTTGATTACTTAAATACACGAATATCGAAATACTTGATTACTTGAATACATTAATATCGAAATACTTGATTACTTAAATACACGAATATCGAAATACTTGATTACTTAAATACACGAATATCGAAATACTTGATTACTTGAATACATCAATATCGAAATACTTGATTACTTAAATACATGAATATCGAAATACTTGATTACTTAAATACACGAATATCGAAATACTTGATTATTTGAATACATTAATATCGAAATACTTGATTACTTAAATACACGAATATCGAAATACTTGATTACTT